TGTGCAACATCAAACATGCGGAGCCTGAGCTCAGCGGCCCTGCCGCCGCCCTCAAGAGGGGCCAGCGCCCCCGGGGCTGAGGTGGGGGGGCAGCCGGAGAGGGTGGGGGCCCTCGGCAGCCCAGGTGTGCGATCGGCTGGGCCACCGGGACTGGGCAGCTCCCCTCGGGGATGTCCCTGTCTCTAAGCGCCCGCGGCTGCAGCTGGGGATGCGGACAGAGGGTGCTGGACAGCAGGGCGGACAGGCGCCCTCTGCCACCGACGGCACAAACCTGGCGCAAAGCGGCTCTTCATCCAGAGGCAGCGCCGCCTCGGGGTGGACGCGGTGTGAGGGGAGCAGGGGCTCGGCTGAGCCAGCACCCAGCTGGCAGCAGTGCCCCTGGTGTTCCTGGCACTCGGGGCAGGGGGCAGCCTTCGGATGCGTTGAAAGCGCTGCCCCGAGGACTGTTTTCTTGAGGAGTCCCCGCCTGAGGGGGCGGGCGCTGATGTCCATGTGGAATGAATGGACCCCGCAATCTGCCTGGCCTTCCTCAAGGCTGCCTGCAGGTGCCAAGGCGCTCCAGGACGAGGCCCGGCCACTGGAGCTGCGGGGAGCACCGGCACCATCTGCGTCTCCTGCGGCACCTTGGCCTGGGCTGCCCTCTGCTGCCCCCCAGCCTGCACGGCTGCCCGCCCCGCGGCCCAGGCCTGTGAAGGGGAGACCGGGCCTGCCCCGAGCTCAGTGCTGACCAGCCTGGCCAGAGCATGAGGGGACAGATGTGAGAGGCCCCTCCGAGCGCTGGTGCTGGACTCTCGGGCTGGGGTGGCGGCCTCGCTGTCTACACCGCAAGAAACACCCGGTAAGGAAATTTCTTCCCGCGGTTAGGACCTCGTTAGGGAGGAGGGCACCCCTTCTGGCAGCTGCTCTGGTGAGTAGCCACACAGACAGAATGTTCTGGTGCTGCTGCAACACCCCAAACTTCATGGCTTAGAACAGGGTGTGACGGGTGTGACGGACTGAACGTGTCCCCCAGATGAATACACTGAAGCCCCCGGCGCGTGGCTCTATTTGGAGCAACCAAGTGACTGTGGTTAATGAGGCCATAAGGATGCGGCCCCGTCCTATAGGGCTAGCGGCCTTCTAAGAACGGACACCAGAGCACTACCCCCACAATTGTGAGCACCATCCACAAGCCAATAATTGGACCCTCCCCAGAACCCCGCCCGCCAGCACCCTGATCCCACACTCCAGCCTCCAAACCGTGAGAAATAAGCTTCCACTGTTTAAGTCACCTGCTCAGTGGCACTTTGGTTCGGCAGCGTGAGCAGACCCAGACCGGGGCTTGGAGGTTTAGGAAGGGCAGATGGTTCATTTTTCAGGCCTTGTGGACCACGTGGTCTCTGTGGCAGCTACTGGCTCTGCCATTGTGCAGTGAAACAGCTGCAGACATAAGCAAATGACCGGGCAGGACTGCGTGCCAATAAAACTTTATCTATGAAGACAGGGGGCGGGCCGGATTGCAGTTCACGACCTGGCTAAACGCAACCGTCTCAGAAACTGAAATTATGAGAAGACGAGGCAGGGAGGCGCCAGGGCTGCAGTCTGCTCCACTGCACCCGACACTCCAGATGGGTGTCCCATCTGGAGCTGCGCATGACGTTGCTGGCACTGGCCGTCCAGCTGGGGCTGAGTCCGGAGCCCCCTCTCATGCTAGTGCGCCTCTCTCGTGGGCTGCCTGGGGTTCCTTCCAGGCCTTGGCTCTAAGCGCCAGCGTCCTGGGCACCTGAGGCAGAGGCTGCGTCACTGTTTACTCCCTAACGGAAGTCGCCTTGTGTCACACCTGCTCCGCCGGCCAGCTGGACCTGTCAGCATCACACGGGAAGAGCAGGTACAATGGGGGCGCGCCACCAGACCGCTCAGGGCCTGCGGTGCACGCGGGCACACACAAGAAGACAAACACGAAACTGTATTGCTGCTAAATTCTTGGGGAGAAAGAAACAGGCTTCTGAGAGACGGAAGGAGGCCGGGAAGCCTTTCCGGAACAGACACTTCCTGGTCCTGAAGAGGGAGCAGGCAAAGGAGACAGCGGTGCAAAGGCCCCGGGGCCAGGGAGGCTGGAAACCCACCGCGGAGGGGGCTCCGCGTCAGTGTGTCTGAGGGCAAGTGTGTGTGCCCCGGGTCACCCCAGCAGCACCCCTGAGAGCACACGGGACCGTTCTCAGCCCGAGCCTGGTGGGGCGCCCTGGAATCCCGCGTGGCGGTTACAGCTTCCTTTGCCTCTCTGGTCTTCGTTCCGGAAGCGCTGGGTGGTTCCATGTTTCCAGCCTTGGAGTTTCCTCCAGGAGGAGATCAGGGCCGCCGCCTGCTGTCCGAGAGAACGCGTTCCAGATGCTCGGGCTGACGTCTCTGATCTCTGCGTTTCAGAGGACGACGTCGCGGCTGAGCTGCTGGCGCCTCTGGGACAGCAGGAGGGGGGCCCCGGGGAGGAGGGTGACTTGGAGCCACCGGCTCGAAGGCTGTGCAGTAGCCCAGACAGACGGTGCTGACCAGCGCTCGCCGGGACCGGCCGCCATCTTCCAGCGAGACCTCAGCGGCCTGCGCGGCTCCCGCGAGGATGGCGGCCGAGTCAGCGGCGCGGGCTGGAGGAGACCGGAGGGGGCAGCGCAGCGTGTACAGGCGAGGCGGCGGCATTTCCGTGGGCAGCGCCACGGGGAGCAGGCCGAGGGCTGGTGTCCCCCGAGGAAGCCATGCCCTTCTCCGGGGGCTGGGCTCCCACCGCCCGAGCGCTGACCGCCCTGCTGGGTGCAGTCCCCAGGCACCCGTGGGGGCCGCTGCTGTGCCCATTGTGCAGATGAGAAGACAGCGCCAGGGGCCAGGCGACCGCCCAGGGCCGCACAGCTGGCCGCGCCCCTCGGTCATAATATGCGACGTTACATGTACACCCCGTTACGTGTACAACCCGTTACATGCACACCCCGCCCCAGCTGCCATCTCACGCCCGGCGAGATCAATGCAAGGAGAAGAAATGGAAGCTGGAGGCGAGTGTGGCCAGGGAGTGGAGGACCAGAAGCGGGCGCTGCAGGGGAGCAGGAAGCTGCTCCCGGGTCTGAGGGCTCCGTGCACCCCGAGCTGTGTCCGAAGCCCCCATCCCAGGCCTGGGTGAGAAGAGACCTGTGGACGGCTCGGGGGACACAGCCCGGGAGGGGGCCCTTCAGCCACCGCCGTGACTGCACATCACAGAGCCTGGGGACCCCTCGGTGTCCTCGCACAGGGGTGCAGGTAGGGGACCCCGGTGTCCTCGCACAGGGGTGCAGGTAGGGGACCCCGGTGTCCTCGCGCAGGGGTGCAGGTAGGGGACCCCGGTGTCCTCGCGCAGGGGTGCAGGTAGGGGACCCCGGTGTCCTCGCGCAGGGGTGCAGGTAGGGGACCCCGGTGTCCTCGCGCAGGGTGCAGGTGCGCAGGGGCTGGTCCAGCCGGGTGGCTCTCAGCAAGGGGGCTGTGGTGCCCAGGGCAAGGCGGAACGGAGCCTGACTCCAGCGCCCCGGGAGGGCTGGGGTTTCCCTGGAGGGGCTGTTTGGTCAGAGGCTGGACCAGGCCTGCGGGAGCTGCCCAGAGGGCTCCGGGCCAGTCGGAGGCTCCAGGTGGCCCCTCTGCTGGTCCTAGTCTGGGGGGGCCAGGCTCAGCCCTGGCTCCACGCCACACGGCCCCCTGCGGCCCAGCCCTGCCCCTCGGGCGGCCCTTCCCGGAGAGCCTGGAGAGCCTGGAGCGGGAACGTGGCTCCTGCCTGCAGATTTGCGGCCCAGGAAATGCATTTTAAATTGGTCCCAGGACGCTGGGATGCAGGAACCAGACGCCACCTCGGGCGGGGGCGGGGGGGGGGCGCGGGGGCGCACGGCCGGGGTTGGGGGGGCCGTCCCCGCGCGGGGGTCCCTGCGGGCAGGGCGGGGAGGGGGCGCCGGGGCCTCGACGCCGAGGTCCGCGTGGCTGGCCCTCCCCTGGCTCCGGGAGCGCGCGGGGAGGCGCGCGCCGAGGTCGCCCCGCCCGGCCCGGGGAGGGTCGTCCGCCCGCGAGAAGCCCCTGCGCTCCCCAGCGCTGCCGGCCGGGGCGGGGGGGGGGGGGGGGGGGGCGCGGGGCGGGGGGGGGGGGGCGCGGGGCGGGGCCGGGCGGGGCGCGGGCTGGGGCTGGGCTGGGGCTGGGCTGGGGCGCGGGGCTGGGCTGGGGCTGGGCTGGGGCGCGGGGCTGGGCGCGGGGCTGGGCTGGGGCGCGGGGCCGGGCGCGGGGCCTGCTCCTCCAGGCCTCCCCGGCGGCTCCCCGAGGGCCCGAGCGCCCCGGGGCCGGCGCCTTCCCGTTACGCAGTTCCTGTCCCTTCCAACCCGAGCCCGGGGGGGCGGGGGTGCTGGGGCTGGGGCCGGACCCCTGATCCCGGCCGGCCGGGCCGGGGGAGCCGGGCGGGCGGGGCGGGGGGCGGGGCCCCTCTGCCGGCCGCGGCGCCGGGGCGGGGGGCGCGGGGCGGCGGGGGCCGGCGGGCGGGGGCGCGCGGGCGGGGCGCGGGCGGGGTGCTCGGCGGGCGCGCGCCTCCCGGCCCGGGCGCGAGCAGCCCGGAGCGCCCCGCCGCCGCATTGCTGCTGCCGCCGCCGCCCGGCCCCGCCATGGTGCAGCCGCCCGCGCCGCCGCCCGTGCCGCCGCCGCCCGCGGGCCCCGCCGCCGCCCTGGGGCGCCCGCAGCGCGGCAGCCGCCGGCGGGGGCCGCGCCCCGGGCCTGAGCGCCGCCGCCGCCCCCCGGCCCGCGCGGCCAGGTCCCCGGCGGCCGCTCGGGGCGCGCTCGGCGCTGAGGTGGAGCCGCCGGCACCGGCGCGCCGCCCCCTCCCCGGCCGGCTGCAGCGGGCGCGCGAGCGCTGGGCAGGCTCCGCCGCGGCGCCGGGATGCGCGGCCGCCCCGCCTGACGCCCGCCGAGACCCCGCCGCGCCCCGCGCCCCGCGCCCGCGCCCGCGCCCCGCGCCGGCCGGGGCCGGCGGGCCGCGCTACATGCATGTCCAGTGGGGGCAGGTTTAATTTTGACGACGGCGGGTCCTACTGCGGCGGCTGGGAGGACGGCAAGGCGCACGGCCATGGCGTCTGCACCGGCCCCAAGGGCCAGGGCGAGTACTCCGGCGCCTGGAGCCACGGCTTCGAGGTGCTGGGCGTCTACACCTGGCCCAGCGGCAACACGTACCAGGGCACCTGGGCGCAGGGCAAGCGCCACGGCGTGGGCCTGGAGAGCAAGGGGAAGTGGGCGTACAAGGGCGAGTGGACGCACGGCTTCAAGGGGCGCTACGGCGTGCGCGAGTGCGGCGGCTCCGGGGCCAAGTACGAGGGCACCTGGAGCAACGGGCTGCAGGACGGCTACGGCACCGAGACCTACTCGGACGGAGGTAGGCGGGGGCGCGGGCCCCCTGCGCGCGCGGTGGCCCGGGGAGCTTGGGGGGCCCGGCCGGCCCGGCCCTCCCGGGCTCCCGGGCGCAGCGGCCCTGGCCACAGGTTGCCCCTCCCCGTGGGGCGGCGCAGCGCCCCTTCCCCGCCGGCTGGAGGGGCGCCCCGGGAGCAGGGCCAGGCCCAGGCGCGCGTGGGGGCCTCACCCCAGGCAGGCCGAGCCCGCGGGCAGGCCCGGCCCGGGGCAGAGGCCGCGCCGCCCCTCCCGGCAGAGCCCCCGGCGCGCGCCTGCGGCCCCTGCCCGCCCCTGGTCCCCGGCGCCGGCAGGGCCTCCTCAGCCCCGAATGGACCCGGCCAGGGCACGGGAGCGCGGGGCGGGAGGCGGGGGCGCGAGCCCGGGCGGCACAACAGGGCAATAAACTTCTAGGTGGTTGGCCGGGCGCTGGCGGGAGGGGCGCCCGCGGCTCCAGAGCCCGGCCAGAGCATCGCCCTCCGGCTGCACCATCCCCGGCAGCTGGGGGGTCTCTGTGTCTCCATCCTAAATGCCACCACCGCCGGGTCCGAGGGCGCTGCCCGCCCCAGCCGCCCGCCCGCCGTGCCCGCCGCCAGCCGGTTCCCTGGCGGTGTCCCTCCTGGACACCCGGGCGCCCTCCTGCTTCAGAGAGGCGGGGGCGGAACCGGACCCCGACCCACCTGCTCCCGGACCCCTCCCCCACCCGCGGCCGCCCTCTCCTCCCCGGGCGCGTCTGTCAGGCTTGGGGGACAGGAGCCGGGGCCGGCGCACCGGGAGCCTGTGTCCGTCAGCCCAGAGCGCGCGCCTGCGACTCCTGCCCGCCCGCCGGCCGCCCAAGTTGCGTGAAGCCAGGGCTGAGCGCCTGCTCCCCGGCCCGGGCCTCGTCCGGGAGCGAGGGGGGCTGGAGAGTAATTATTATTTTGGCTTATGCAACTGCGAGGCAGGGCTCATTGTTACCCAAAGGGAGGAGGGTGTGGGGCAGTTAATTATATAATGCTGCTGCTTGTCACAGCCGAGCCGCCCGGCCCCAGGCGGCCTCCTCTGTGCTGCTGTTGTTTTCACAGAGCAGGCTGGAGAGCTGCCCCGGCCCTGGGGCCGAGGCCGGGCAGGGCAGCACCCTCTCCGCGCGCGAGGCCGGGGGCGTGCGTGCCGGTGGCACCGCCAGGCCCGGGCGGCAGATGTGGGCGGCTGAGGTGGGCGGCTGAGCAGCCTGGCGCTCCCAGCTGGGCTCTCTGGGCGCCCGGGGACCGTTGTCACCCCCGGGGCTGGGGCTGAGGCGAGGCAGCGCTGCAGACCGGGCCCTCCAGAGACGCCCCAGCTGTGCCAGAGCCGGGAGCGGCGTGGCGCCACCCTCCCCGGCCCCTACAGGCCGCCACGGCCACAGCGGGGAGCGAGCCCGGCCCTTCTCGCCGCGGAACTCCCCAGAGTGAGCGTGAAGTCTGGCACCCCCAGGGGCCCCCCCTTCCCTGACGTCTGTGGCGCCGTGGAATTCTGCCCTCGGTTCAACAAACAACCACTGAGGCCCCCATGAGCGGGCTCCGAGCACGGGCAGGCGCAGGGAGCAGAGCAGGCCTCGCCGAGCTCGGAGCTCCTGGGCGTGTCCTGGCCCCAGGAGCTCAGGTCTGCCGGGGCCTGGCGCCTCCTCGCTGCAGGGCCTACCCGGGGCTCTGTCCTGGCCACCGCCACACACCTGACACCCCCCCACCCGCCCCGCGCCCCGTCCTCCTGCTTGGGCCCCAGGGGCTGGACGGGGTCGCGTCCGCGTCACAGAGGGGGCCCGTGAGGCCGGGAGCCCGGGCTTTGGTGAGAGTGGAGGGTTTGGGTGCAGCCTGCCCGGGACAGCCCGTCTCTGTCGGCCCTGGGCGAGGGGTCCTGGGGCCCTCGTTCTCTCTCGGGGAGCCCCCTCTTCGGGACCCACCAAGGCAGGCACACGGACGTGGCCCGGGCCAGCTGCTCCCTGTCGTTGGCCACGTGAAAGACAGAAAGTCGAACTGGCCGTCACGGCCTGCGGTCACCAGGCCCCGGCATGGGGGCTGCTTTTCTGGAACAGGGTCCCCCTGTTTAGGAAGGTGCTGACCCTTAAGAGCTGCCCTGGAGTGGCTGGGCGGGCAGCAGCGCCGGGGGGTGCTGGGATCTGCGGGGCAGAACAGCGGCGTCCGCGCCCTGTCCCAGTCAACCGGTGGCCTGGCAGGCCCGGCGTCCAGGAGCACGGGCAGAGCCTCCCTGGCTGCGGGCCCTGGCTCCGGCCTGACGCTTCCTGGGCCGCGGGGTGGGGACAGGGCCGTCGTCAGCGGTGGCCCCGAACTTCTTGGTGCTGACTTGGGGGAACAGAGACGTTCATGAATAATGCACGGACGGCGGATGCGCTCCGCCCTGAGCCCGAGCCGGCGTGGAGGCCATTTCAGCCGGGAGCACCTCCGCCCGCTCCCCCTCCAGCCCGTCCTCCCGGCGCACGCTGCTCACCGGAGAGCCGAGCCACTTCCCCGGCCGCGGGGCGGCCCCGGGGTCACTTCCACGCTGTGGGGGGTGGGGGCAGCACGCGTGCTGTGGGCCCCACCACTGGGCCTGAGTCTGGCCACTGCTGCTCTTGGGCGAGTGACCGGACCTGTCCGTGCACCTGTCTCCGGAGGGGCGACCGCGCGTGCAGGTGGGATGCCTGAGGCAGTGCCCAGGCGCCGGGAGGCAGCGAGCGGCCGCCGCCACCACTCCTTATGTAATTACAGTTTGCACGCAGCGGGCACGCTTTCCAGGCTCACTTCAGAGCCGGCAGCCAGACGTGACGACGCGGACGGTGAAGGGACAGCAGTGGCCGCCCGAGCGCTGTGCCGGACGCGCTCGCGGGGATGGTAGCCTCAGAGCAGAGCCCCGTGCTCCTCGGCTGCCGCGCTCACTCTCCCGTCCTCACATCTGGGCGGGAGGCGGGAAGCCGGGTGGCTGGGCCGGTACTCTAGGGGCGGGACCAGGATCCAGGCTCAGGACAGGGTTCCGGCCAGAGGCCGGGGCGCTTCTGCCTGAGAGGTCCACGTGCGCCCGGCGCCCCCAGCCCCCGCGCCCCTCTCCTCTACGCCCACTGGCTGGCTCCCCCGCCTCGTGACGGTGCTGCCTCTTCTCCCCTCGCCGACCCCCGCTCCACCTCTCAGGCCCTGTCCACAGGACCCCGGGACCCAGAGTCACCCCCCACAAATAAACCCTCCCACGCCCTGAAGACATGAGTCATCTCACACACCCGGCCTCTCCCCCTCACACAGATTCCTTCCCCGGCCCAGATCCTGCTGCCCACACAGATCACACACGCCCACAGCGCTCCCCAGCCCGGCGCCTGCGCACAGGCGCACGTACCTGCCCCCCGCCGCTCCCACCTGCCCCAGCGCAGCCGCGCCCCCCGCTCTGCCCTGGCGGGGGCTCCAGAGCCCACCCCGGCCCCACAGCAGCTCGCGCCGGTGCAGGTGCTGGTGCAGGTGGAGGGCGCTGCCGCCTCGGGGGGGCGGGGGGAGCACGAGACGAACTACCTGGGGCACGTTTTTGGGGCTTGGCCCCGAATACATCCCAGGAAAGTCCTGCTCCCCCGCGCCCCCCACGCCCCCCCACACGGGCCCAGCGGTGCCAGCGAGAGCTCATCCCAGAAACAGCCGAGCTGTGGGAGACAAAAGGAGACAAAGCCTCTCCGCAGAGATTCTTTCAGCCACTTTGGGAGGGAAGAGGCTCCGTGAGGTGAAAGGAGCAGGGAAAGCAAATAACTAGTTCTTTGTTGCCAATAATAGCAGAGAAGACGCGCCCCTCCCCCAGCGCCTGCCCGCGCGCGCAGTGGGGGCACAGGGGCTGGGCTGGGTGGTTCGGGAGGCACCTGGCCGATCAGACCGGCACCGCGGGGCCAGGAGGGGGCCCGGCCGGCCCCAGGACCCCCGCAGGAGAGGGGAGCGGGGCACAGTGCGCTGGGGCGCGGGGGAGCAGGGCCTTCTGCTGCTTTCTTGGCGCCTGCTTCTTCCTCGCTTTCCCCCGGGCCTCGGCACCTGCCAGCCCCCCGGGCCTTGGCACCTGCCAGCGTAACCGGCCATCAGCTCCGCGCTCTTGCTCGTGTGCGCGACACCGTGTCCCTAGATGGCAGCAGGGCAGTCAGACCCGCGCGCCCACGAGGCGGTGAAGTTCCCTGTGGCTCGTCCCAGCGCAGAGACCCCACGGGGGAAGGGAGCCCTGCCCGGGGCCTGCGCCGTCAGGGGAGGCCCCGTCAGCACCGTGGAGAGCGCCCGCGCGGCTGCGGCCTGGGTGGGGCGGGCCCTGGGCCCTGGGCTCTGTCCCGCGCCTCCCGCCTGGGCCTGGCCTCTGCCCGAGCCCTGCCGCACACCCTCAGCAGCCGCGGCCCCCACGCACAGTCAGTGCGAGGCTCCACGCTCCAGACACGCCACCCCGGGGGCTCGCCCGCCTTCACCCCAGAGCTGCCAGGCTTCCAGAGAGGCAGGGCCTCCTGGTGACAGAGGGGCGGTTCCAGGCGGGCTCCCCCAGCAAGAATGCACAGCCGCTCTGAGATCCGGGGTCTGCTCTGCCTGGCCGGCGTGGGCTGGGCGTTTTGAGGCACACAAGCACCGCCCAGGCAGGCAAAGGCAGGGTCTGTCTGGAGCGGCCAGTGCCACACCCTCTAAACCGGCACCTGTGGGTGGGCGGTCCACACCAGCCCTGCCCACGGCGGTGGCTACTGGCCACCGTGGCTCTTTGAATCTGAATCTAAGTCAAGCACAATGAATTTAGAGCTGTGGCCCCAGCATCCCGGCCCCAGCCTCCCAGCCCCAGCCCAGGCCCAGTAGCCACGACAGCGGCTAACTCACGGCCTCCCCGCAGGAGGCGCCGCCGGGCACCCTGGTGTCCAGCGCGTGCAGCCCGCACGTGGGGGCTGAACCAAGCAGCAAGGGCAGTGGCGTCGGGTAACTGCGTCCTCCGCCGCCATCTTACGCCTGGGCTCACTGCCCGGACTCGGAACTGGACAGCAAAGGGGAC